TTATGGCTGCTGTGTGGAGCTGACAATCACTTAGATAAGTAAAGATAAAGGGTAGCTTTAAGGTGCTGTAATGCATATTCCATCATGTTTCCCGCACCGCATGTGAATGCGCTGCCCTTGAGATCTGCATGTGGGTGCCAATGTATTGTTAATGGCACTCCAAATGCAAGTCGCAAGTGCAGTACATTTGTGGGCACCAAATCGAATTGTACCGAGCTTTATAGTGTAATGTGTTCTGAAAAAATAGTGCTTGGAATACTTTATCAGTGGTCCAGTGCATTTTGCAGCCCATTCAAGTGAATGGGATGCAAATCCAGACCACACTGTACTGCGTCGGGAATCGTACAGAAATGTGAGTGTTCTGATCTTCCCCACACAGATACTATTTAGCAATTTCTCCCCCAGGTTGATTGTAACTTGTCCCACCTGATATCTATTTCATATCATAGGTGACCCAAACAGGTAGCTTACTTGCTGAAGGAATGAACATCTTTACTACCTTTAGCACATGCTCTGCCTTCTCCATCGCGTTAATATACACTATATTGCCAAAAGTATTGGGGCGCTTGTCTTTACACGCACATGAACTTTAATGGCATCCCAGTCTTAGTTCGTAGGTTTCAATATTGAGTTTGCCCATCCTTTGCAGCTATAAAAGCTTCAACTCCTCTGGGAAGGCTGTCCACAAGGTTTAAGAGCGTGTCTGTGGGGATGTTTGACCATTCTTCCAGAAGTGCATTTGTGAGGTCAGGCACTGATGTGGACAAGAAGGCTTGGCTCGCAGTCTCCACTCTAATTTATCCCAAAGGTGTTCTATTGGGTTGAGGCCAGACTCTGTGCAGGCCAGTCAAGTTCCTCCACACCAAACTCGCTCATCTATGTCTTTATGGACTTTGCTTTGTGCACTGGTGAGCAGTCATGTTGGAACAGGAAAGGGCCATCCCCAAACTGTTCCCACAAAGTTGGGAGCATGAAATTGTCCAAAATGTCTTGGTATGCTAACGCCTTAAGAGTTCCCTTCACTGAAACTAAGGGGCCAAGCTCAACCCCTGAAAAACAACCCCACACCATAATCCCCCCTCCACCAAACTTATACTTGGCACAATGCAGTCAGGCAAGTACCGTTCTCCTGGCTACGGCCAAATCCGGACACGTCCATCAGATTGTCAGACAGAGAAATGTGATTTGTCACTCCAGAACTACATCTCCACTGCTCTAGAGTCCAGTGGTGGCGAGTTTTACACCACTGCATCCGACGCTTTGAATTGCACTTGGTCATGTAAGGTTTGGATGCAGCTGCTTGGCCATGGAAACCCATACCAGGAAGCTCTCTACGCACTGTTGTTGTGCTATTCTGAAGGCCACACAAAGTTTGGAGGTCTTTAGCTATTGACTCTTCCAGACAGTTGGGGACTTCTGCGCACTATGCACTGACCCTGCTCTGTCATTTTACATGGCCTACTACTTCGTGGCTGAGTTGCTGTTCTTCCCAGTTGCTTCCACTTTGTTATAATACCACTCACAGTTGACCGTGGAATATTTATTAGCAAGGAGATTTCACGGATGGACTTATTGCCCAGGTGGAAACCTATCATGCTTGAATTCACTGAGCTCCTTAATGTGACCCATTTTTTCGCAAATGTTTGTGGAAGCAGTTTGCATGCCTAGGTGCTTGATTTTATACACCTGTGGCCATGGAGGTGATTGGAACACCTGAATCCAATGATTTGGAGGGGTTTCCCAATACTTTTGGCAGTATAGTGTATTTCCCAAACCCTTCTGATTTTGTTTCATGGTAGCAACAGCCCCTTGAATGTATGCTGACAGATATGGTTAGGGTCGTAGGCAGGTGCCTACAAGAGATTCTTGAGTTTAATTAGGTCTGCCCAGGCTGGGTAAGGATTGCCTTCCAAGATTTCGGTTTGCCAGGCTTTTTTTGGGCCTGCCTTCAACCCTGTGCTACTCTGAAATAGAGGTAAGGCTTGGTCCAGCAAGGAGCAGGCAATGGAGAACTTGAGAAAAATCAGAAGTTTCGGGATGGGAGCCAACACGGGATGCTACATCATGTAGTCCCACAAGATAATGGAGTTCTGGAGGACACTACCAGCTGTTGGAGAATGCCAGTAATGGACTCTTGCCTTCAAAGGTATGCCTGGGCAGTCACCTCCTAGTTAGGTAGGACCTGAACTGTGTGTATCTGTATTTCTAATGCCATGAGAGCTTACAGTAAAGTTTGTTAAACTGTTCTCACACCTGGTCTGAAGTTACTCTAAAGGGGTGCATGATTGTTTCTGGCGTACGAAAGAACAGGGCTTGTAAAGCACATAAGGGATACAGAAGCAAGGTCACTACATAGGGTTAACTCAGCAAAGGAAGTGGGTAGTTGCCACGGGTAACCAAAGACTGTTGTAAAGTAAGCAGCAGCATGTCATAGAGCATGGTACCTGGTGTGGTGACGTATCCTCCGGTAGCAAGGGGGTCAGTGCTCTGACTCCCTCCCTAGCGGCTAGTTCCCTACAAGTAATGGGACGGAACCCATGTTATGGAGATCCACAGCCTGGCCACATGGTACAGGAGAGCAGAAGGAGCTAAGTGCATGCATGAGGTCTATAATAGGTGCACGGCAGGACCTCATTCTGTTCCTGAGAGTGAGGTGGCAGAGGTACACTGAAATGGTGGAGAGGGCAAGGGCTCAGCAGTGTCCCACCTAAATACAACATTCAATGAGGAAGGTATGTAGTGACACAGGATAGAATGCTACACAGAGGAACTCAGAGGTCATACAGCTACACGCCATGTACGGTTAATCTCTAAGCCAGAGTACTGCCATAATGTTGACTTTCACATTGATGAGTTCATATTGATGAGTGCGTGCACATGAGAAAGGTGTCCCTGAATGTAGGGTGAGTATACCCCGCCCACACGGTGCTAATGTAGCATCAACTATTGGGGGTCGCTTCAACCATTATAAAAATAGGATGGTGTCCTTGGGCTCCCCAGGTTAAGTAGGCCTGCCAGCAGACCCCCCAACCCTAGCTGACTTTCACTGAGATGGTTGGAGTGAGACCCACTTTCTCAAACACCACCTACATGATCTAGACAGAGTGTGAGAGCAATGTTCCTTCTGCCCCAATAAGTCTTCATGCCTAGGGCAGTGGGATCCTTCCTCTCAAACTTTGCCTTTATAGGGTGAATTGATAGGAAGAAAGAAAGATCTGTTTGGTCAATATATGGGGGGAAAAGTGGGCTATACCCTTGGAAACCAGGACATTTGAGGCAGGAGGGGAGATGCGTTGCGTTAAGAAATGGGGGTACCTATAATATATTTGCCATGGGCCTACCCATTTCTTAAAATCACCCTGTCTACCATAATGACCCCACGTATTTCTCCTTCTTTCCGTTAGGCTCCGTTCGCACTTGTGTAACTTGTCATGTGACTTTGAACACATAAAGTTGCATTACAAGTTGCAGCTCGTTGTTTTTAAAGGGAACTGTTCGGATCTATGCGACTTAAAGTCATCACATAACACATCACATAACACGGACAACCAGACAATGCTTTGGTGCTCTCACAGTCTACTGCAATGCATTTTCTCCTTTATTGGAAATGACTTAATTGAAGATTTAGGATTATGTCATCATTGCTTTTAAGAACAGTAGTGCCTTTATGATACAGTGACAGCTGAAAAATTGCATGATATGAATGAATTCCAGGTATTCTAAAAATGCAAGGTAAATTTATCTAATTTCAACATCATTAAAGGAACTGTTTAAGTAATGGTCTGAATTACAAAATCTGAATATATTGAAGAAAAGTATTAGCTTTGTAAGCTGTACATGAGCTCCCCCTTCTGGCACATAATACACACACATTTAAAACAAAAAGGTTATCTTGACAGAAATTGCAGGGCATAATTATCAACACCTTCATTGGACGACAGCTGTAAAGAATTACGCTCACTCTGTTTGCAAAGCCATCCACCTATTCATTTACCAACTGAACCAGAGATGTTTTCCAGCATCAGTTTTTGCAGTGGGAAGGGGTGATTATAGTGTATGTACAGGCAAACCCATTTTTTAAAGACGGTTTAGACCCTCAGCCAATTTCTATTGCTATCTGTGTCCCGTTGAGGAGATGTATTCTTCTTTTAGAACTGGTGACCATTGTCTTAAACAGAGAGTGAGGGTAAATCCAAATTTTTAGAGTTGTCGCCATAACAAGAGGTGAGAAGACATATTCCAATGGGGGCAAATGTTCCAGTGACAATTAAGAAGGAAATTTTGTTCACTTTGGGAGATTTCCTCTAACTCCATTTTACACATCTACAGAAAGTAAAGTGAAATCTCTCCAACAGTGCAAAGAAAGCAACAATAACTTGGCTGGGATTCTAACCCTGTCACTATCCAAAATATGACCACAAAAGAAGTTTTAGCTATACTATGCTTTAATGTGACCTGAAACAAAGCGGTCATTAATTTTGTAGATGTTTTACTAAACACAGTTGACTTCCTACCCACTAATCTGACTTAGACCGAATTCAGATGGTGCTGAGGACCATAGCCTATGAATGGGCTGTGTGTTTATGTAGTTTGAACAGTCAGGTGCTGTGTGCAGGGCCAGTGCTTCAACTAGGCAAACTAGGCAGCCAGCTAGGGTGCACTGCCACCTAGGGATGTCTGGGAGCAGCATAGGCCAGCACTCTGTGTGAGACTCTGCCATGTCATGAATGATCCTTCAGTTGAGGGGAGGGGCAGCAGAGGGGAGGAAGAAAGGACAGAGGAGGATGCCGGGTGTCTGGGGCTAGTGGATGGCGCTCCTTCCAGTGTTCCTCTCAGACTCAGTCCTGTACTGCAAGTCGGCTGGTGGCTGCAGATCATTGTGGAGTTCCAGTCCTTCTCTTCCCATATATCAGCGGAGGCGGAGCTGCACCTGTGGAGGAAGGAAATGTCTGACTCTGATGTCTCGTGTCTGTGTGAGTGGTCAGCCAGGCATCCATCAGATGTGCAATATGTCAATGAGTGATGAAATCATCCTGATCCCACTTCCTGCTCTTCTAGTGCCTGCTGATCTGTGTCAGTGTTGGTGGTGGTGTGCTGTGTCAGATCTGTCACTGTGTGGGATCACTCAGTTCAGGTGTTCTCTGTGTGTGTGTGGGCTGGGCTGCCTGCTGTCATGGCGTTTTATATCCCCCCATTGCCTGGGGAATTCCAGCCTGGGATCTGTCAAAGTGTGGACCAATCATCCTCCACTCACTGCAACTGTCACCCTGCCACTGCCAGCCCCAGATACAGTCCGTCCGTGACACTGATTTTGTCTTTAATATTGGTGCTGGTGGCAAATAATATTGTTGCAAATTAACAAAAAGTTAGCAGTTTTATGTTTTGTTGACTTAATATTTTCTACTTTGTTTTTTGGGGGGGGGGGGGCGCAAGTGGCTGGTCTTGCCTAGTGCACATAATAATACAGCACCAGCCCTTGCTTTGTGCAGACAGCACAGCTGCTTATCCCGATCTGACAGTTGTGCAGGTCTTGTGAGTGGCCCTGAATGTACACTGTCTGCAGGCAAATACATTATACATTTGTAGAAATTTTAAATGTATCTAAAAAGAATATATACTGATTTTGTATACAACATAATTAACAAAAATTATGTATTACTTATTATGGTCAGGGATAAGAGATACATTTTAATATTTTTTTCAGGTAAATACGTTTTTTCATTTTCAAGCAGCCATTATGTGGAATAATTTTCATGTTTTTCATGATTTACTTAGAGATGCTTGTTTTTTACAGAGTTCAATAGCACAAGCTTCCAATAACCCAATGAATAAATTGGCACTCCTTCATACCTACCCTCTTACAATGAGCAAGAGAGAGATTGAGGCTATATTACCTTAGCTTAGTCTTCCGAAATGTAGCAAAATGCGCAATGCATTTGCGGTACAATTATTTCCTAATGACACCCTAAATAAGGTGATTTTGCTGCAGGACAAAACGCGTGTAAATTGTGGCAAACCATACATGCCAGATGCGCCTGGCTCAGTGCTAAAATACATGACCTTCTTTGGCATGCTCGCTGGGCATATGGCAGCCCATTCAAGTGAGTGGGCTCTCCTATGGGCAAAGTGAAGAAATAAGCAAAAAAATGCACAAAAAAAGCAAGCAGGAATGCACATTCTTCCTACTTAAAGGGTAAAAGCTAACAATCATTGCTGTACTCACTAGTTTGATCATTTATAATGCTGTGTGACACTAATGCCTTTAATGTACTCTGTATTAAATGTCTATAAACTTATTTATATAAATATTACAATAAATCATTTTAAATGTTTAAAAACTAAATCAATAAAATTCACCTTTAAAATATTTTAATATATGCTCGTTGGGAATGTTGGATGCCTGGCCTTTTTGTTTGAATTGTGGTTCCTTCCTCTGGCCTCTACATCACAATAATGATGTAGGTCAGAAGTCTTCAAACCTTCGAAACAAAGTGCTGTTTTTTTTTTTTTTTTTTAACAGTTGCATTCAAAGGGCTGGTTTACTATACCTCAAACTTTAGGGGGGGCTGGACTGTGGCCAGAGAGAGTAGAAAATGTCCACACATCAGTGGGAGGAGTCAATGTCTCAGGCTTGGTGGTCAGTGCAGGTAAAATAATTACATAATGACTATGGTCAGTAGGAGGAGGATCAATGCCCCATCATCAGTGTCAATGTGGAGACTAGTGCCCCATCATTTGTGTCAGTGGAAGGAATAGAACACCATCAGTGGTGTCAGTTGGAGGAATAGTGCCCAATCGTTGGTGTCAGTGGGAGGAATAGCACCCCATCATTGGTGTCAGTGGGAGGAATAGTACCCAATCGTTGATGTCAGTAGGAGTAATAGTATCCCATCATTGGTGTCAGTGGAAGGAATAAGGCCCCATCATTGGTGTTAGTGGGAGGAATAGTGCCCCATCATTGGTGTCAGTAGGAGGAATAGTGTTCCATCATTGGTGTTCAGTGGGAGGAATAGTGCCCCCTCATTGGTGTTAGTAAGAGGCATAGTTCCCCCTCATTGGTGTCAGTGTAAAGAAAGATGCCCCATAAGTGGTGTCAGTGGAAGGAATAGTGCCCCATCATTGGTGTCAGTGGTAGGAATAATGCCCCACACTTGGTAAATGGAGGAGGAATAGTAACTCATTACTGGTGTCAGTGGGAGGAATATTGCCTTATAACAGTGGGAGGAACAGTGCCACAAGGGCTTAACACAGGCAAGCAAAGGCTTGCCATCGGCCCATGGGCCACAGTTTGGAGACCTCTGATGTAAGTGATGGTGAATGGAACCACAGCTGACATCAGCAGATCAGCAATTTGACAGACCCAATAGTGTTCTGGATGCTTGACATGTTTCAACCAGCATAGCTCCTGAAGCCAGCAGATATCAACAGTGCAGGGAGGGTAAATATTAACCATTTTTTCAGGAATGGCTTTGGGTTGGGGTTTGAAAATAGTGACAGGCTCTTTATAATATAATGTGTAACTTTCATTTTTATAGGTCTATGTTAGTCAATGTTATTTACTCTTGAGGTGACCGGCAAAACACCCTATGTATTTCATCAAGAACATAACAGTAGTTTTTTTTCAAAATTTTTACCTGGCCTTCAAACCTCCTGACAGTTGACCCTTAAGCAAACATATGACTACAGATCATGGGTCCCCATAGTAAAGTTTGGATTGGGCCCCCCAGTGGCAGGGTCACTTGTGATATTACTACCATTTATATTAACATAAAGTATGCCTAATCATGAGCTGTGACATAATCGGTACAATATTAAGGACCAGAGCAGCAAATACAAATAAGTAATTCGGGAAGACAAGAGCTTCATCCCAGATCTCAGAACCTTGAGTAAGTTCAGTGCTCTCCCACCCCTTCTATTGCCACAGCAAATAAGAGCTGAAAGAGGTGCTTTAGCAATCACTTAAAAACAAAAAAAAGAAGACAAAGGCCTCTTGCACAATGTACTGATGTATGAGCATCAGACATTCCTGGCAGAAAAAAATGCGCATAATTGTGAGTATGCAATACACACAAGCAGGAAGTGCAGCATTTGCATGTGTTCATACTTATTTTGCATATTTGCAATTATTCTGCATATTTGCAAGTATGCACACAAAAATACTGACCTGCAACTCAGGTTCCTGTTTTGTTTTGTTTTTTTACTGATCAATACCCAGTGCTTGTTTATGTGTCTGTGTGTGCAGGCACATTGAAAACAAGGGGATGCATTTTAGATGAGTCAAAATAAATGCTGTATGCCTGAAAACTGAGCATTTTCAAGCGGCAGTACACAAGAGGCCAAAAGTTGTATTGGCCATTAAAATAAACATCACAATATTGTATATTAATACATAATTGTTGGTGATCCTGCACACGATAACCCTTGTAAACTTGTAACAAACCTCCTTTTTGCGGAACTACAAACGCCAGTTGTATTATCAGTTTTTAGAGGCACTCTTTACAGCTTGAGAAAGATTACATTAGGCGTACAGGGTTCATTTCCAAGCTGGTTAGGAGCTCCAGCAGAAACTCTGTGGGCCTTATACAGCTAAGACAAACAAATGCTGCTTACAACACAGATAGGGGGATCATTGACTAGTGATGATCCTGAAGACTCCTCCTGTGCACCCTACCTCAGCCCTTCTAGACTCAAGATTGCACCTGGGTAAAGGGTCAGTGTATAGGCAGATATAGTCTGTATTGCCCACTGCAGGTGGTGCTGAACTGCAGCGCAATGCAGAGGGGAGAGGAGGTGGAGGAGGTTTTTCTATGACTTCCTCAGTCACACAGGACAGTTATCCGGTTGGATGCTCTGGTCCCATGTGACCCGGGTGGCCATCTTGGGTCAAGCAAAGTCTATTTAAGACTCTGACTCCAGGTTTTGGAGCGCTTTCTGCAAGTGGCTGGAGTAGGGACAGGTTCTCCGTGAGGCATGGACAGCACTAGAGAAAGGTAAAAGTTCCAGAGGAGCAGGGAAAGAGCAGGTTCTACGTCTGTCTTCTCAGAAAGCTCCCCCTTTGGGTTGGACCAGCCATGCCACACTTTACTTCTCGTGGCAGACACTGTTGGCATCACTGAGTCTTCTTACCACTGTCGCTGCACTGCAGTCCTGTAAATGTTTCCGGTTAATTGAGCCTCCCCATCAGGTCTGATTGTACTGTTGAATTACTTTTACAATACATCGCCTTTTGCAAATCGAGACTCTGTCTGCTTACTGCCTGCCACACCACGCAGCTACCCAACAAGTGTGAATGCAAACTTCTCCAGCACTTAACAATACAGTTATGGATGTGCGTTATCTTCACCTGCACACACATTTTCTACATTTAATTGGCCTCAAAAACCTCCCTAATGGGGCTCCTTTCCCACCTCTAGACCCCATAGTGGCAACAAGTCTTTTGTTACACCACTGGTCCTCCAGTCAGCAGGGGAAGAGCTAAAGCCAAACAAGCCCACAGACTTCTATGCAGAGTACTGAGGAGGAAGGAAAGTGGTGAGATGGGTTTTATCAAACTGCCCAGAAAACGTTTTCTTCTTGGAGCTGTGGGAACCAAGAAGTGCACAATTGCTGCACACTGACCAGATTTTTGAGAGGCCAGACCATTGGAGATTGAGCCTAAGAGAGATACCTGAGGCAGTGCACCACAGACCACAGTGATCACATCTACACTGGTGTTGCAGGGAGACCCAGAGCTTCCTCTCACCCAGAGCTTCCCCTCGCTAATCATCAGAGGTATCCTGTGGAGAGACAAAGGGGCCCCCCTTGTACAGCGAGAGGTGACCGTAGCATCTCAGGGACTGGTGAAAGGGCTATTCGCAGATTGATGAAACTGCTAGGATGGACTAAGTGTATCCAATCCATGCTGCACTCTATACTGTACTTATTTCATCCCTGACTGAACCTTAACCGCATTATACCAAAATTGTACCTCAGCTGAACCACATCTACCCTTGCACCTGTGCCAAGATTGTACTGTACCTATGCTGCATGCAGGTTAACTGGCACTATCATTAAGTGCACTGACACTCTTATAGGGCCCCAAAAATAGTTGGCAGAAGAACATTTCAAAGGACTGCCCCTCCCAAATTAATTATTCTGCAAGCCCCCTTTGTTTCCCTGCCCCCTCTACTACTATCCTCCACTTCTTTTGGACATACCCAGTCGGTCTAGGACTAGCATCTCCGCCATAAATGGGCTCTGGCAGTATAGTTCCAGCATTTGGTAGATTAAACTTTACCACTGCCCACTGCTGCACTTGAGGTCCTTGCTACTGTTTATGCTGATCTGGACACCAGGGGGTTTATT